CCAACCCATGCAGATGGGTGGTGTGGGCAGGGGGAGATCTCCAGAAACCAACATCAACCAGTGCCCAGACTGTGGTGATCTCCAACCAGGAGTTCACAGCCCAGCAGGAGAAGATAAGCTGTACCCCCTTAGGTGGTGAGAGATGGAGCACGCTGGAAAAGCCCAGGAAGGACCAGAGGAGTTTTCCTCATGAGGCTCCCTGATGAAAGAGAAGAAAGGCTTAAAGTGTGGATCAGCTCTGAAAAGAGACAGTTTAAAGAGCAATTGAGTGGAGGAAGTAGGCAGGAAGTGTCCAGGAATCACTCACACTGTGGGACAGGGTGACACTGGTGCGGGAGTTGAACGTGTCAGTGTTTGGAGAGGGGGAGGCAGGGCTGTTTGCTTAGAGCAAATGACACTGGGACATCATGAGCTGGCGGGCCCAAGGGAAGGAGGAGCAAGGGCACTGGCAGGGCTTTTTCATGGTCTCCTGTTCTCAGAGCCCCTCTGCTCTCCACAGCTGCCTGGTGCGAGAGCCTTTGCTGAACGACGACCTTCCGAGCTACATCCTGACAGGGAGGGTCACCATCAAGCCGGGCGTGAAGGAGTTCAAGGCCAACTCTGTTGTTTTCCACAACTGCCCTGAAGAGGAGCCCGTTGATATCGTTGTCTTCTGCACAGGCTACAACGCCTCCTTCCCATTCCTAGAAGAATCAGTCGTCAAGGTGGAAAACAAGCACACATCCCTCTACAAATACGTGTTCCCAACCCACCTGCAGAAGCACACCCTGGCTGTCATTGGGGTGATTAGGCCCTTTGGAGCCATCATGCCTGTGACAGAGATGCAAGCACGCTGGGTGACCCGTGTCTTCAAAGGTAGGAGAGCTAACGGGAGCTCTCCTGGGTACCAAAATACAGCTCAGATTGGACGCGTCTCGTCCATCTACCAAGATGGATTTCTGTCCTTGGAGATCTCAGAGCTAAGAAGCTCATTTCAGAGTGGACAGGGGAGTATTTTCAGGGCTCAGACTTCCCAAGTTATTTCACTTCTGCTAAGCTGCAGCAACATGAGTGAGGAAAGAAACCTACTGGGGTTTTGTTTGGTTTTTTTAATAAAAATAATAACAACAACCTCCCACTGGGCTCACAGGGAGGGCTATATCAAGGCTTCTCCACAGAGCCAGGGGAAGCTCTGTGGTTTCTCTTTGGGATGATCCTCTCTGGGGCTTGCACAGCCCATCTCACTCCATGGCACCTGCCTGTGCCCTGACAGCACAAATCTGTAAGAGCAGGAGAAAGTAAGGGTGAATTTGCACCACTGTGGAGGACTGGTCTCTGGCAGAATTGCCAATGACAACCTAAACCTGAGCAATGGGGTTTTCTTGCCCTTCAGAGGTAGGGATTCTCATGTTTTGCATCAGTGAATGAGTTCACAAGTCCCCCCAGGAGCTAAACTCTGGAGGACGCTCTCCTCTCTCTCCTAGGCTTGTGTCGGTTGCCTCTTCAGTCTGTCATGGAGAAGGAAGTAAATGAGAAGAAGAAAAACCAAGTTAAATGGTAAGTCGTTCCCTGGAGCCTCAAAGGGGTTTTATTGTGGATTGAAAAATCCCTGGAGTTTTGGGGGCAGCAACACACAGGCTCACACTCTGCAGCTGCTCCCTGTGTGTATGGCAGAGGCAAGGGGGAATGTCCAGATCCAGCCTACCCTTTGCTCACTTGAGCCAGTATAACCTTTGATTTGACACTGGTATTTTGCCTGTTGGTGGCAGGAAGAAATGAATTTAGGGTACTTAAGCCTAAAGCTTGCTTAGGAGTTGGCGAAGTGTGCCAGGGTCCCCAGGAATGGAGAGAGAAAATGGCAGAGAAATTAATGGTAATAAATGCAAGGTAATTCAACTGGGAAGGGGAAAAAAATCCAGCCCGAGGTGTCCACACAAATTGTCTCATCTCTCAGCATGGAGACCTGCCTCACTGTGAACAGGTATCTAAACACACCAGTGTGTGGTTCCCAGGCAGGCAAAAGGCTAAGAAATATTAGGGTATGAATGAGATAAACCCAGGAAACTGGGCAGTGTATTAATCCAGTCATCTACATCACTGCAGGAGAAAAGGGATAGAAAAGTGAATTACAGAATTGCTCAGAAGAATTGCTCTACAATACGAGGTTAAACTCACATGGCCTTTTTTCAGCCCACCAAAGGTGGGACATAAAACTCTGAATTCTACTGAGAAGATTAACTGGAAGCAATTCTCCAATTCACCACGTGTTCTTGCAGTACTTGATGGAAATGAATGTGAGGGAAACTAAAGGGCGCTGCCTTTCTCATGCTGCACATGACTTCCCTGCAGAGAGCAAAGGGAAAACTAGATTCCAAAAAAAAAATCCCCAAACTGGTTTGACAAAGTCTTTTAACAGAGATCCACCAAGATGAAGGGGGGGAACAGGTGCAGCTTGTGGCCAATGAAGTGAAAGACTGATTAACATGAGCCAGCATCCCTTTACATGTGCTGTATAAGGGACAGGATTTGGGGCCAGACAGGCCAAGGTTCCCACTCTGTGTACGCCCAGTCCTTTCCTAAACAGAACCTGCTTGCATTCAAATGCAATAACAACAGGGATGCAGAGGACTTGCACTCAAGTTCCTCTCAGCCCTGTTGACAGCAATCTTTCTCCTGCCTCTTTTTCTTCTCTGATTTATTAAGGTTTGGTCTGTCCTTTGACGAGGTCCTCAAAACCGAGTGGCTGGTCTACCTGGACACGCTCGCCTCCTTCATCGGTGCCAAGCCCAGCGTGCTGGGGCTGCTCTGCAGAGATCCCTGGCTGGCCCTCACCATTTTCTTTGGCCCCTGCTCCCCCTACCAGTACCGACTGCGGGGTCCTGGGCACTGGGAGGGGGCACGCCAGGCCATCCTCACCCAGTGGGACCGGACTCTGAAGCCCACAAGAACACGAGTCCCTGCTGGCTCCTCCAGCTCTTTCCCCTCTCTCCTGGTTGTGGTGGGGTTCCTCCTACTCCTGGCTGCCATAATTTTTGGTTTACAATAGCTTTTAGAGCCTGTTAATTTTTTGTTCTTGTCACGGGGGATGTTATCTCAGGTCAGACATCTCCACAGCGCGCCATGGGATGGGAGGAAAAGGATTTCAGGAGATGGAACAAATTTTATGCTTCAACCTGCCGCACAAACCTTTCTCTGCCCCAACTCACCCCCAAGCACAGCTTTGCAGACCCCATTAGCTGGGGATGGCAGCTTTCCCCCAGTGTCTATTGCTCCTCTCCTCTCCTGCCCACTGCTGGGAGCAGAGCATGGCTTTATGGCATAACTGTGTATGGATCATGCCAGCCAGGATGCAGCAAGGATAAGACTAGCCCTGCCCCAACTCACCTGAGAACCAGGGTCTTTAGTCCAGCAAGGGGTTATCTGGGCTGGGTACGCAGGTCAGGCTGTCTCTTTTCCCAAACTTAAAACCTGTGACCCAAAAATCCCAGTTTGGGTTGAATTGGTGCATGTTTCCAATGAAAGGGCCCTGGTTGTGATTTGTCACCACTGAAATTGGGACTGAACACTCCTGGCTTTGTTTTCCTTCATTCCTCACCACTGGATAATCCTAGGGCTTTTTTCACGTGTGTGGAGACTTTAAATGAATAAAATCTTATCAGCTGTGTCAGGAGCCTGCTGCAGGTGCCTCCATGTCGTCTGCCTGTGTGCAGGGAAAGAGCTGGGAGGAGGGTCCATGTCTGAGCTGGGGCTGTGCCACCCGGTGCCATGGGCAACTCACAAGGCTGGGGCTGTGAGAGCTTTCACTGACCCCCCAAAATTATTCTGCACTGTGCTCTGTGTCCCCCATCCATGCCGTCAGCTGGCAAAGAGAGTGTGTTTTGCCCATTTCCTGGGCGTGCCAAGTGAACACCTGCCAGGCACAGGCACTGCAGGAGGGGATGAATCAGGACAACCCCAGGCTGCTGCCCGGTCTGGGCCAGTGGCCAGCTGCGGCGTGGGAGCCCTTGCAAGCAAGTTATGGGATTACAGTCTGGATTTTCACCCAGCACCGCCGCGGGGATGTTGAGAGCTTTCTTCCAGCGCGTTTAAGCACACGGGGTGGGGCAATGCAGGCGTAAAGGTCAGTGGTGCAAGAGCCGTGGCGACCTGCCTGGACTTCAGCCTTCCCCTCGAATCTGCGGCAGGAGAAACTTGAAGCAAAGTTCGGCCGAAGGCTGAGCAGCGAAGGCACGGCACTGTCCTGCAAGGTTTGCTCCTCACTTCTCTCCAGATGGGTGTTGCAGGCTTCCAAAAGGGGCAGACAGCTCTCCAGGGGTTTGGCATTTGCCACCGGCTTTGCCTCCCTGCTGGCGGGGGGTGAGGGGTCTTACGGGGACTCTCTGGAGTAAAACTGTCTGTATCCAGCACTGGAAAAGAAGGCTGATTTTAGCATGTCTCTACCCTTTTCCAAAACCAAAGGAGGCTCCAGGGACAGGGGGCAGGCAACTGCTGGCAAGTCCTGCCCTGTGCAGATCAGGGAGTGGCTCAGTCTGGGCTTTTGGATTCTGAGGGGGTATTTTTGCACCTCCTTCATTTTCCCCTGTCTTTCTTCAGTTTCCTCCAGTTCCTGTTTACGTTAACTTACTTTTTGGCACGCAACTGATAGAAGAAAGTTATAAATTACTCTTTCTGCAGATTCCGCAGTGGGAGTGTTTGTTATCTAATCAAAGTTCACGTGGGTTCATTTTTCCTAGTTTCTTTGCTTTCCAGTCGAGCTCGGTGCAGCTAGTTTACACACCCCGGGGGCCTTGAGTTCCTCGCCTTTATTACCCGCGTTTCCCGGGTTTCTTACCTTTTGTGTGCTCTGTAATCCCAGCCGCGCTTTCACGGTGCTGTCTAACTTGTGAATGGCTGTGCCGCGCTCCTGCTCAGTCAGGCATCACTTTTTTTTTTTCTTTTTTAAACCCTTTTTGTTTTCAAGAGATTGCTCTTTAATGGGAAAGTAAAAAGGAAAGCATGAAAATGAGCCATCTTAGCTGAAATTGTTTCTTGCAAACGTTTCAGGAGGATCGCTTTGTGCGGGCAGAAGCTGCGAGCCCCTTCCCCTTCTTTGCGTGCCCTGGTTTGGGCTTGGAAACGGAATAAAAAACGAAGCAGCAGCACAGTGAGGTTTAAAAGTGTCTCCCTTTTCCCTGCATGAAGGAGGGGAATTGCTGGACCCTTGGTGTGGGCTTAGCACAGCAGGAAGGGTAACAAGCAGCATCTGTCCATAGTGCTTGAGCCAAGAGCTGGCCATGGCTTTCTCCAAGAACAGTTTTCCTTGAGGGCACCTGCAGCCAGAGAAGACCAGGGGTATTTTTCTAGGGACGGGAAGAAGGGATTGGTGTTTCTGCTAATTCCTGGGCTGTTTGGTTTGCAGCTGCTCGCCCACGGGCCCGTTCCCTGCTGCAGGACAGCAATGGTGCGGCGCGTGGCCGTCATCGGGGCCGGGGTCGGTGGCTTGGCCTCTGTCAAGTGCTGCCTGGATGAGGGGCTGGAGCCCACCTGCTTCGAGAGGAGCGAGGACATCGGGGGGGTCTGGCGGTACACGGTCAGTGAGCTCTGCCTGCGCGGGGAGGACTGTCCCTGGGTTTGTCCCCTCCCTCCTCGGATATGCTTTGCCTGCAGCAAAGAGAAAAGAGTGGCCGTGCCCTCAGAGACTGTCCCTGTCCTAGGCACAGGTCTCCCCCTGACTCCAAGTTGGAGAAGGAAAGGGAGGGAGCAGAAACCATGGTCAGCAGATGCTTGTCCTGGTTAATTCTTTATAATCAAGTACAAGGAGGAAAAACACTCAAATGCTTTGGGGAGAGAAAGTATTTCTCTGCACACCTTCAAACAGCACCACTGGCTTCACACAGGACTCCGTGGATGGTACGAGAGTCAGTGTGTACCGCTCTGTCATTACCAACACCTCTAAGGAGATGTCCTGCTTCAGTGACTTCCCCTTCCCGGAGGATTTTCCCAATTACCTACCCCACAGCCTCCTCCTGGAGTATTTTCGGATGTACGCCCGCCACTTCGACCTCCTGAGGCACATACGCTTCAAGGTGAGCAGGGACCCCAGACACCATGGGCAGAAGACCCACCAGCAGCTGCAGAGACCAGGGTATCACCCAGGTGGGACAGGACAATGCCAGGTGCCATCCCATGAGGACTACATGCCTTCTGTATCCCAAATGCAGCCTTTAGCTTCGTGTTTTAAAGGCTTCTTAAACATGGGCTGCATCTCCCCCCTCAATGCCATCATGAGGGGAAAGGTGCAGGGTGGGATTTGGTGGTGTTGGGTGACATGCAGCTCCCTAGGGACCCAGCCTGCCCCCAGCAGCCCCAGCCCTTCACAGGCATATCTCCAAAACACAGCGTGGTCTCTGACTGCTGTTTTGTTTGGCTTTGGTGCAAGACAACAGCTCTCAGTGTGAGAAGGCGCCCAGACTTTGCCACCTCTGGCCAGTGGGAGGTGGTCACCGAGACCGACAGTGTCCGTGAGTCCCACGTCTTCGATGCCGTCATGGTTTGCACTGGCCATTACCAGGAGCCTTACTTACCACTGGATTCTTTCCCAGGTAAGCCCTGTCCCAGCAGTGGGGTGGGCTGCAGCTGCCCCCTGAGGTTTTGCCCAGCACCCATGGGTTCCTCGGCTGCATTTTCCTCTTAGAGCCTGTCTGCTCCACAAAGCCCTTACATTGGGAAAAGTGGGACCCTCACCCTGTTGGAATGGTGAGGGCCATTCACAGGGATGGCAAAAACACCTAGGAAAGATGCAGCCAGGCTTTTGAACGAGGATTTGCAGAGCAAGACGGAGTAGAGGAGTTGCAGGGGGGTGGCATCACCCAGGCAGCCGAGATTTCCATTGGCTTTTCAGCTGCAATCAGAGGTGGGGGGTAGCAGGTTGGGGACTCCAGAGGGTCTGGGACAGTTAAATGTATCTGACAGTAGGAGAAGCTCCCCCCTCTCTGCCTAGGCATTGGCACTCGCTTCAAAGGCCAGTACCTCCACAGCCAGGAATACAGAGATGTGGAGCCTTTCCGGGGAAAGCGGGTCCTTGTGGTCGGCATTGGCAACACTGGTGGTGACATCTCCGTGGAGCTGAGCCACGTGGCTGCCAAGGTACAACTCTGCAGCGATGCAGAGCTCAGCCAGGGACCAGGAGAGCCAGGGGCTTAGGTTACCCCAGGAAGCTTTGCTCCGGGGTTTTTAAACAAATTCCACTTTCAATTGAAGACGACTGAAAAAGCTTTGCGATTCCTGGAGAGTTTGGGCCACCTGAGGAGTGGCCATTCAGCAGCTGTGGGAACTTTGTAGAAGCTGCCACAAGCTGTTTGGCTGATCTGGATGCCATCTCCTTCCCTCAGGATAACCCTCTCAGCTCCCAAGTGCTGAGATGAGATTTGCCTGGACAGGAGGCTGAGACCTGCCTTCTCTCCCAGGTGTTCCTCAGTGCCAGGAGCCACACGTGGGTGATGAGCCGGGTCTCAAACCATGGCTTCCCCTGTGACATGGTCGGCAACACCCGCTTCAACCACTTTCTTGATTGGCTTCTCCCATCAGCCTTCACAAGGAGGATCCGGTTTCGGAAGTTCAATTCATGGTTTAACCACACAAATTATGGGTTGGCTTCCACCAAAAGGTATTTCTTTCTGATTGTTTTGTTGGTTGGTCAGGGGGTCTTTATACCATGAAATGCTCAATTTTTAATTTTGGGGTATATTTGTGGAATAGCAAACAATTGGAGGGGAACTCTGACTACAAAAACTGTCTCAGATCCCACCCGGGTGCTAACGCCTTCTTTTCCCCCTGCAAGCTCCAAATTTAAGGTGATTATCAATGAAGAGCTGCCGTTCTGCCTCCTCTCTGGGACTGTTGTGTTGAAGCCAAGTGTGAAAGAGTTCACAGAAAGCTCTGCCGTTTTTGAAGACGGGACAACAGAAGAAAACATCGACGTGGTGCTCTTTGCCACGGGCTACATCTTTCCATTCCCCTTCCTTGAAGAGTCAGTTCGCAGCCTCATTGACGACAACCGTTCCCTCTATAGACGCATCTTCCCTCCCCAGCTGGAAAAGCCAACGCTGGCCATCATTGGCTTGGTCCAGCTGACCGGCTCGATTATGGTGGGATCAGAAATGCAGGCTCGCTGGGTGACGGGGATCTTTGCGGGTAGGAAACGGGGGGGTCTGCTGGGGTGGGAGGTTTGGGGCAGCCTGACCTGCTGTCCACAGAGCCTGGGGCACATTTCAGCTCCGCGGTGGCCGTGAGCATCAGTGGCATTGTAGCCTCTGTCTGCCAACTGCGTCCCTGTATCCCTGCTGCCCCAGACATGCTGCTGTAGCCAGCAAGCATGAGCACTCTGGGTAAGGGTGCTGGGAGCTTGGGAAGGGGGTGAACCTTTCAGCTTAAAGTGCTGCTGAAGGTCTCTGGTTTCTCTGTTCTCAGGCTGGAACGAGCTCCCTCCTGCCAGCAGGATGATGGCTGATGTTTTGAAGAAGAAGCCTCCAGTCAAAAGGTGTGTGATGCTCCTGTGCTCCAGATGTGATGGGTGTTGTGTGCCAGGATAACCCCAGGGAAAGGGGGGGCTCTGTGGCAGTTGTGGGAACAACCTGCCTTGGACACATCTGGAACTCTTGCAGCTCCTTTATGGGTAATGGACCAAGACCCCATAAGCTGCTCTGGAGCAGTTTATGACAAGACCCAGGACCTGCAGGTCCCCTCTGCCAGGCCTCCAAGCCATGTCCTTATTCCTAGCATATCAAGATGGAAGTTTGGTTTCCTCCAGACTGAGGGTGCCATCTCGTGGCTCTTTCCTCCCAAATCCAAGCAGTGGAGAGCACTGGGTTCAGGCCCAAGCCCCACCCAGAAACCCCACTGAAGCCAGGCAATGTAGATGGGGGACGGTTTGTGTCAGTTTTTAACAGATCAGGATGATTACACGAGGCTGTTGTGTATGTGGGAGCTAACATCCTGCCTTGTTGGCACTGGGATTTTACAGGAGGTTGAGACGTGCCCTCAAGGATGTGGGAGGGGTGGTGATAGAGGTGCTGCCTGCCTTGCAGCAGCTTTTGGGAGCAAGGAGGGTATCTCAGGGTGCAGGTTGGGTTGGGTCTGCCAGCAGGGCAGGGCTGGCTCATGGGACACTTATGAAAAGCTGGGACAAAACACAACTACAGGGATTATGACCAGGAACCCCAGTGACTGCACCACAACGATGTTACACAGAAATATGGGAGCCTGAGGTACAAGGGAGACAACCTTCAGGGTGTCCCAAATTTGCTGAAGCAGATTCAGCACGTCCTCCCTCCTGCGAGGGACGTGAGGCCTCAAGCAGAAAAATCCTGGACGTCCCTTCTGGAATGGGAATCTTTATGCATCTCCCAGATTTTCCCAGTCTCCTTGGCATTCTTATCTCTGAAAGTTTGCATTTCTGCTTCTCAAAATCAGCCAAATCCACACCTGTGAACCTTAAGGAAGGACACAGCATTACAAAGTAAAGACAGTATTCAGCTAGAACTGGTTTTGAGGCCACAACTGAAGACAAAACAAGCTTCTGTCTATTCCCTGCCCCAGGTAACTGCTGGGACCAACTCCATGGAGGCTCTTTCAGTGCCTTTAGGTTTATTTGGGGCCAAGGGACCTCAACCCTAAAGACTGGGGCTTGAATGCTGCCTGAGCCCAATCTGTGGAGCTGGGAACTGAGGTGGGATGATGCTATTTGATTTTTATTTTTTATGTCCCACTGAAGGAATCCATCTGAGAGGGAGAACCTGAAGATGAGTTTTATCGGCTACACAGATGAAATCGCTGCCTGTGCTGGTGTGAAGCCCAGCGTGCTGAGGCTGCTCCTGACGGACCCCAGGCTGGCCCTGGCCATCTTCTTCGGGCCCTGCACGCCCTACCAGTACCGGCTGGTGGGTCGAGGGGCATGGAGTGGGGCCAGAGATGCCATCCTGACGCAGTGGCAGCGGGCACTGAAGCCCTTGAGGACTCGCATGGTGGATGAAGATTCCGACCGCTCGTCCGGCTGGTGCTGGATGTGCCTCCTGGCCCTGCCTGTGGCTCTCACAGCAGGTTTCCTCCTTTCTAAACCCCCCCAGCTGGGCTGTAGGCCCTGGACAGGTCCCCAGCTGTAGGAGAAACCTGGTGAGCCCCAGCCCCAGGTGAGCTGGAGACAGTGCAAAGCCGTGTCCCTGCCAGGTGGTGGCCTGGCACTGGTGGCAGCCTGGATGCCAGGAATGTCTGGTGTCCATCTACCTCCTGCTGATGTTTCATGCCCACCAAGGGCCGTATGGAACGTTCACCCCAGACCTGCTGCGCTCCACACCAGCACCAGGCTGGATCTCCAGAGGGCTTTTTGGAAGAGCCATTTTGGGATGAACTGGTGGGCACAAGGCCAGGCTTCCTCCTTCCCCCTGCTCGCCCAGAGCTTCCTCCATAAAATTTCAGCAAGACCCACAATGCCTTGAGATTTTCTGAAACATGAACTGTAGATAGCTTTTTATTTGTCTGGTAACTTTTGGGACACAAAGAGGGGAGCCACAAACAAAGCTCACAGATTTGGGTCTTCTCTGCTGGTTTCATTAACAGTTTATTACTGGGCAGAAGGCAGAGCCCTCCCACACACCCACGAGTGCCTCCATCAGGGGATTTTGCTGCACGCTTGCCCTCAGGCTGCAGCCACTTCCCTGGGGGAAAGCATGTCCCGAGCCATCTGTCCCCCATCCCACCACAATGGAGCTCCTGTGGGGCGCTGCTGGTCCCACGTGTGGGGCCGGGGATGGGGAAAGGGATAGGGAGTGGGATGGGGACCCAAAGGGGAACAGGGGTGGGGACCAAAAGGGGAAGGCGAGGGGCGACCAGGATGGGGACAGGGAGGGGGACCCAAAGGAGGACCGGGATGAGGCTGGGCATGGGAATGAGGACGGGGATGGCGATGGGGACCAGGATGAGGACTGGGCTGGGGCTGGGGACTGGGATGAGAACGGGGACGGAGACCGAAACGGAGACCAGGATGGCGAGCGGAAAGGGGATGGGACAAGGGATGGGGACGGAGATGGGGACCGGGGACGGGGATGGAGACGGGAATGGGGACCAGGATGAGAACAGGGGGAAACGGGGACGCCACACTGGTCCTGCCGGTGTCGGCAGAGCCGGCCCCGCCTACGGCCTCCCGCCTCTCGCAGGGGGGGGCGCCCCGTCCCCGCGCTCTCCGCCCGACTGCGCACGAGCGCGGCCGACGTGACCCGCGGGCGCGGGGCGGGGCCGGGCGGTGCGCGCCGTGCGCGGTGACGTCAGACGTCGTTGGCGCCCGGCTTGGCCGCCCGCCATCTTGGCCCCTGTGTGCAAGCGGCCGAGGCGGCCGGCGCCGGGGCGGGCAGCGGCCCGCCGACACCGCAATCCCGCGGGCAGCCGAGGCCGCGCTGCGCGCCCGGTAACGCCAGCGCACCTCCGCACCCCCGGCCGTGGGGCCGCGGGGCCGTGGCGCGGCAGGGCGCCGGCAGGAGCAGGCGGGGCGGCCTGCGCCGCATGGCCCCGGGCGGGGGGCGGCTTTCCTGCCCGGGCGGGCCCGCGCCCGCGGGTGAGGGCGGCCGCGGGTGCGGGGCGCCCCGGGACGCAACCGCGAGCGGGCGGCGCCGGAGCGGGGCCGGGCGGGCCGGCCGGGGGTTTGCTGGGCCCCGTGGGCAGCCCCCATCGGCGCCCGAGGGGCGGCCGCCGCCCGCCGGGAACACAGCCCGGGGCCGCGCCCGGGAGGGGGCGGCTGCGGTGGGGCCGCTGCCTGCCGTTCTCCCCGCCTCCTGCGCCCTCCCTTTTTTTAAACGGCTCCAGGTCCTCATCCCACTCCCATCTCTCTCTCCTTCCCTCTCTTTCTTTCTCCCCCGCTGGGCATTCCTCGAGGAAGGCGCCGGCCCCTCCGTGCGTCCGCGTTCGCTCTGTGGCCGTGATTCTTCCTGCAGGACCGCGGGGCAGAGCAGCCCTTTCTCGCAGGGCGCTGGAGGCACATGCACGGCGCGGCGCTTGGGTTTTCCCACTCGGAAATACGCATCCACGCTTCTTTCACTGCTCGCCCCCAGTAAAAGGCGGTTCCTGGGGTGTTTGATGTAGGGCTGAGCGGAGCGGCGCTCGGGGGAGGTATTGTTTGTGCTCCCAGGGGCAGGATTTGTAGGGATGGGATGGTCAGAGTCTTGCTGGTAGAGCTTAAGGGATGGTGAGAGCGTGAGGAGATGACACGGCTGAAATTCAGGCAGCTGGTCTGCAGTGGCCATAATGCAGTGGGTGGTGGGAGCCATCACCGAGGGATGCAGGGATTGAACATTTTGGGGCTAAAAATGGCCCAAATAGTTTCCAGTTCACGACCTCTTTATGGGGAAGGGGAGCGTGCATGAGAACGTGGTGCTGGGTGTTGAATGGAACGTTGTGGGGTTTCTACCCTTTTTGTGTCTCACACGTGTGTTTTGTAAATTTACTCTTCTGTGAGAGGTCTTGAACTCTGTCATCGGCGAAGGACCATTTTTCCTCATTGATCTGTTTACTGGAGTCAGATGTGTACATTAGTGGAAATTAGCTTTATTTCCAAAGAAGGAACAGGGCTCTAATTTTTCGAAGCTCTGCCTCTTCTGCAGTGAGGCACCAGGCCTGCCCAGTGTCTAGTCTTAAAAGAGCTCTGCTCAGGCAAGAAACTGCTTTTGGAGGGGGAGGAAACAGGACATGATGCCATTTGTCCATGGATGAGAAGCAAAAGGATTACCCTTAAATACTGACTGTGAGGAGCTGGATATGGCTGTCGGATTTCTTTGAATTATGTAGTCTAGAGAATTTTTCTCCTACGTTAATTTTTGTGGTGTCCTGTTGCAACTCTGCAACAGTCTCCTTGGGTCTAAAGAATTAAGTTTTGGGAGTTGTTTGAAGTTGGTGAATGTTCAGTGGAAAGGCAGTTTGGTGGAGGTGTGTGCTTGAGAAGTGGCTGTTTGAACTGAAGTGAGAATTTGGTTCCCTCATAGGTCAGTCCCAGTGTGTGGAGACCAGGGTTGTGATCTCTGTGTCTGTCACCCAAAACACTGCCTTGGTGTCTGTATACGTTTCTCGTGTGAAGTTCTTTCCTTTTGTAAATAATAGCTTATGAAATATTTGTAAATCAATATACAGTTGCCTCTGTGAGCTTTGCTAATATAAATATTCTGTGTCTTGGCCGGTTAGTAGCAATTTATAATTTCTTTACTCTCATTTAGCCTTCCCATGATGGGAACCCTGGTTTTCTGTAGAGCAGAATAGTTAGATCAGTGTCCAGTTTTAAGTTGGGCTCCTTGTTCAATGGTACAGGTTTACAGGACTTGTCTTCCTTAGGCCCTGTTTCCCCACATCCTGGAGTCCACTAGGGAAAGTGAAACAGGCCACAGTGAGCAAGGGAAGGATGATGCAATTCGGAAGGGAGCTCTCTTTGGTCAGTCTGAATGAATGTTGTGTGTCAGTTAAGGGAAAGAATGTGAGTCAAAGCAGCAATTACACTGGATGGAGTTGACTTCAGCCAGGTGTCCTGCCTGGCTGGAAGTGCAAGCCCTTTGTTCCAGGCTGTTTTCCAGGCTAAGTAACGGGAGCGATGTGAAAGTGGAGAGAGGGTGGAAAGTGTAGGCTGAATACCATATAAGGGTGCTGTGGATAAAATGTAGAGATAAAAATCTTGCAGAAGAATTAAACCCTTGCACGGTGTGCTCTTGCAGAGGAATAAACCCTTGTGTGGTGGACTGGGGATGTGAGTGAAGGAAAAACACTCTTCCTCGTTACGCTGGAGAAGGAGGTGGACACTTTCAGAGGTACTTTGCAGTAGTGGAGGGTTTGAGGGGAAAAAACTCCGCCCTGAAAATGCACCACCTTTCCACTAGTGAGGATGGATGTTGGGCTTGTGATGACGGGACTGCCAGTGGTGTTTTACTGGTAGAACCAGTTCATCTTCTGCAGGAAATTTTTTCTTTGCTCAGCCTCATGCCCTCATTGTTTTTTTGGGTCCGGGTTTCCCAAAGCTGGTAGAAGCTTATGGGTGAAAGCAGATGTAAAAATAAAGGCTGAAATTTATGTGGGGAGGTGGGAGTAAATAATGCTGTGTGAGTACTGGTGAAATGAAAATGGAGTGCACAGGAGTCTTTAAAAATGCATAAAGAGCAGAGGAAGATGAAGTCCTAATAAAAATCAGATGAAGACAGCTTTTATGTCTATGAAGAGCAGGCTAACAGAAATAGACTGTTTTTATTACAAATACCTCAGCCATTACATAACATTCTAAGTAAATGCTAACGAGCTAGTCTGTTACAGATTGCAAACACATACTGAAGGGAGAAGCTGTTTAACATTCACATTGTTCATGTTTTAAATTATCTGACACTGTCTTGATTAACAGTAAAATTATAGTGCGGATTCAACATTACATGTCTTCAATCTGAAGTGTGGTGGGGATAATTTTAACTGATGTGTACTTGAAAATAACGTGGGGTATGTTTTCAGAGGCTTAGAGCATCAGAGACAGGAATTACTGCACTTTACATTCAGGTGCATCAAATGCACAAGTACTGCTGAAGAACTGTGGCATCACCTGGGGCTGGGTAACTGAGAGGAGAGGGGTCATTAAATATCTATTTAGATCAATGTACAGCTCATTCCTAAGTGAAATGGCAGCCTTACTCAATTTTGGGTTAGTTGGGCTGTAACTTGTATTCCAGCAATGACTGGCCTGCCTGTTTTTTGCTGCAGTGCTTGCTTAAGCTGGCAAATCAAACTTGCTCTGCTTAGAAGAGCAGCCCTTTTCAGTCTGTCCTCCTGAAAGCAACTCAACTGCTACACCTTGGTTTAAAATTAATATTTTGTAAGCATATGACCATTCCCAGGTTTTATTGTTTGTAAATTTTTACTTGCAATTTGAGTCTACAGTCGCAATTTTAAAAGAGTGTTTGCAGGATCAAGGGTGTAAGTTATGCTTAAACTAGTTTGAATTTTCTAAGGTGGAAGTGCAGGAACATCTTCATTTTGTTTGAGAAACCAGTGATTTTCTCCCAGTTGAAGACTTGCTATGCTTTAGGACTTAATATTTCTTCTGTTTCAAAGTAACCAGATAACCATGGGAGGACCTCATGGGCTTAATATCAGTACATTGATGCTTTCATTTT